ATTGTAATTTTCTACCAGCTGCAGCCTGCAGTTATTTAGGGCATGAGTTCAGGGGAAGTAACAGTGTCAATAGAAGTTTAACAAGTTTACAGATTTCGAGGAAAACTCCAAACCATGAGTCAAGCTCATGTCTTGTTCATGAGTTTACGTTAACCTTGACATTCAGAACAGATACAGACCCTTTAAAAGCCGTTTTGTGTATTTCTGGTGCATAGCTGCTTCTTTTAAATTGTTTTCTTCTTCTTCTTATGTCAACAATGAAAATAAAAATCCTTCACTGTTACACCTGCTCACATACGTAAAGCAATAGGTGGCAATAAAAACAAGAACACTTATTTGCTTTTGTACAGAGATTTAGATTTAGATGAGAAGATCGATGCGCCCCTCATGTCTGTGCATTAAAGTAAAACTTCCCGCACAAAATGACTGTTTGTATATCAATTACTCACCCTGTGTTACCTTGAATTCTTGAAGAAAACTTTGTTTCTCTCGCATGCCTCCACGGTGAACGCAGATTGTGAGTTTGTTAGCGGATGTTGTGATCGGGTTCTGCTGTTGTTTCAATTTACTTCGTCAAGACTTTATCTGTGTTTTGATTCTTCGCTTGCTGTGGGAGCATGCAAGAAAAATAAAGTTTTCATGAAGAATCCAAGGTAACTTGAGGTGAGTAATTGATATACATCAATGTCATTTTGTGGGTGAAGTGTTCCTTTAAGTATCAATCTGAAGCCAGAAGACAGTTAGCTTAGGACAACAACTGGAAGCGACTGGAAACAGCCTGGCTCCTCTAAAGCTCACTAATTATCATATTTCATCTTTCTAGCTGTTTCCAACCTGTTTCCAGTCTTTGCTATGCTAAGCTACGCTAACCACGTTACAGCTACGCTGTAGCTTCAAATTTAATGTACAATTTGACATGCAAGATTTCTGTATTTCTTCTTCTTGTGCTCATACCATTGGCTTAAAGTGACTGGAGCTCAATTTTAAAAAGCTTGTGTCACATAGTTCAATGCACCAATCAGAGTTTGGCAACAGTTGTTGGGTTGTTTGGTCGCTGCCAATCAAATCTGATTAAACGACAGCCATAAACCTTTTAATAAAGAATACCCAACAAGGTCTTTCTTTTATTCAATGCTGTTTAATTAGTGTTAATTAATAGAGAAACATGTAAGAGTAACTCTTAAGAGTAGTTGCTGGTTGGTAACATGCTGAGCGGCCCTTTTAAGTCTGTGGGCTTTTTTTACACCCTCACTCTGACCCTAAGGCAGTGACTCTACTGTGGGTGCCAGCCACATTTCACAACTCTTTCAACTAATATAAAATAACTTGTTATTTTACCTTACTAGTCTTTCTAACCAAACACTGTTCATTCAACATTTCAATTTGTGTTTAATGAGCAAAAATCCAATGCTTTCATTTGGCAATAGAGCCTATAGCTCAATGGGATTAAATTAGGGGAATCACATTTTCTGATATTAAATCTGCTTAAAAATGTGCTCTTGCTTGCTTAATCAACCGTCTAATGGCCTCACCTCTGTGCACTTCTCATCCATCAGTCACTCAGCGGGTTGGGCTGTGAGGTTTATTCAAAGGTAAAGAAGGACTGAATAGGATTTGATTGGATTGACTGGTGGGCTTTTTAAAGACCCCCGTTCTCTTGATATTTAAGGTATAATCAACTCCAGATGACATCGCGACTCAATGGGACTCGCAGTGTTAAACTATCCTCAGTTCTGTGAGGAGCAAAGGGAGATTTAGGGAGTATTATGCGCGGTTTAGGAAAGGAAGTGAACAGGTATAGGATGGGGAAAATTGCGATAGGAAGCGTGCCTGACTGCAAGAAGTATTGATGTATGTATGTGTTTGTGTATTTGTGTGTGTCAGGATGTGTGAGATACATTTTAGAGAAATAGCTGTACATATCGTTACATCTCTCCATCATTTCCCCATACTGATTTGTATTCAGGCCCCATTCAAAGATTAAAATACATTCACAGGTATATAGAGTCTGCTTTCCACCTGAGCTGCATGTCTTATGATCAAACTAGAGTAGACATGATATGATATGTCAATTAAACCATTGCTCAATAAACAGAAAATTGATTGGAAACTCTTTCGATCATCAAATAACTGTTCCTGTTTATTTTTTTCGATTAAACAAACTCCAAACAAAACTCAAATGTGATGACTTGCTGCTTTTAATATAACTAAAGACTGAATTTTGGGTAATGGACTGTTTCCCAATTCTCTGAGTATCACGAGTACATCTAAATCAGCGTTACCAGAATAAGACATTTTGAGATGTTACCTTGGGCTGTGACGGAATTTAAAAACAGGTTTTTCTGACATTTTATTGATAAAACAATTGATAGATTAATCAAGAGAGTAATTGGCAGATAAACTGATGAAGAAGATAATCAATAGCTACAGCCCTGAACACTGAAGGAACATCTTTGAGGACATGAAGATAAAATATAAAAGTCAATAAAATGTCAAATAAATAAGTGAAATTGCTTGTTTTTCCCAAAACCTCCAAACATACGCAGTTTACGATCTCATAAAACAGAAAAAGCAGCAAATACTTTGTAATAATTTGTAACCTGGAATCAGAGAATAGCTTTAAAATTAATTCATCATCAAAATAGGAGAAGATAGCTACATATTGATTTTAATTTGATCAATTTACCAATGAATTGATTCAACTCAAAGACAGATCCCATGAGGTGACAGTGCTAACCGGTGCCGGCTCTCTCAGCCGCATCAGAGCTTCTCCTGTGATAATAACGTGTGTGCAGCTGAATCTGGGTCTAAAAGCCTCATTGTGGAAAAGATATGCGCTCATAAATTACCACCAACCAGGGAATTCAAAGACGCAACAACCTAAGAGGTACTTCCGTCATCTCTGAGTGGATTTGCAAAAATGATTGCCATGGTGACACCCCCCCCCCCCCTCCAGAGGACTGTAGCATTATGAGAGCAAACAGTGCAGACTGCAGGGAGGTTGTAATTTATGTGTCCAGCTCAGTGCTTTCTCTCTCTGTTGGCCTGGTGTCTATTTGACAGTAAGGAAGCTGTCACTGTGTGATTTGTTAATTGTGGAACAAGTATTCAGATCGTTTCCTTAAGTAAAAGTACCAAGACAACAATGTTAAAGTCCTAAAATTAATAGATTATTAATATTGATACATCAACCGTATTTGAATATTATAGCTGGTCAGGGTGGAGCTGGTTTTAACTTATGATTGTTCTTTATATACTTATGTTAATGTAGATAGTTTAGCCAAGCGGTTCCAAACCTAAGGGTCGAGCCCCTCCAAAGGGTCACAAGATAAATCTGATGGAATCAACTTTTCTTGAATCTTTGCTTTTAAAAAAATAAATTTTATAATTTTATCTCTATGCGCATAAAAAAAGTTATTAAAATGAAGCCATGTGAGAAGTTTAGAGGAGGAATGTCTCATAAATGTCTAAAACACAACAAGGTGCTACAACAACGTATCCTCAACAGTTTGTATGATATCTTACGAAAAGTTACTCCTCTTTCTTTTTTCTGTCTTTTCAAAATAAATGACTGCTGTCTGAGTTTAGTAGCCTGATAGAATGAAGGACTTAGTTTATTCTCCTAAGGGGCACGTTGTAACGCCAGCCTGAGGCCATTCCAGTGAATTCACTGGACAGAATAAGGTCAGATTGGCGGATAGTTCCTTTTGCTTTTTGGGCCTGTTTCTCCTACGGGGAACACAAGACTCTTTCCAGGGCTCCAATCAACTTGGAGCAGACTTTCACAATACCATTTAGGCTATTCGTGTCCTTCTCAGACATTACAAAGGCATTGCACGTGAAGGGAACTCAAAAATCAAGAATAATAAAGAGGTAAACGGCGGGTGAAGACTCTTTTCAAATTTGGGAACGTCTCTGACCTCCTGCAGAACGCTTTCAGTCTTTGCCTCCATGTTAACATAGTGGGCTTAGGATGTAGAGAACAGGTGGAAACAATTGGAAAGCAAATGATCAATTAATTGATTAAGCTTAAAAAAAGAATACACAACTTTTGAAATAATTGAGTAACCTTTGAAGTCTCGTCTTGTTTTAGTTTTTTTTGAAAAAACGTCCTAAATTCACTGGTTCTTGCTTCTGAAATATGAACATTTGCTGACTTTCTTTGTCCTAAATTATATTTCTTTGGGTTTTAGATTGTTGGTCAGACAAAACCAGCAAGAGCTGCAACAATATGTAGATTAATAAAGTAGAGATTGACAGAAAATAATTTTTATTAAAACTGTTTTTGATAAATGACTGATAAATCCAACTATCTACTTTGTCTCTGTTTCATAATTTAGTTAAATGAAGATCTTTGGGTTTTTTAACAGTTGGTCAGAGAGAACAAGACATTTGAAGACGTCACCTCATACTCTGCTTTATAGACTGAATGATTAATGAAAGATTAATTAAGTAAAGAAAATAATCCACACACTAATCAATAAATTAAATGGTCATTGGTTGCAGCTCTAATCTGAAGACATCAGGTTGGGTTTTTGGAAACTGTGATGGACACGCTTCACTGTCTATGGAGCAAATGATTCACTGAAAAAATCTAAAGAATTAATCACAGAATAATTGAAAATGTAAGTAAGCGTGCCCTACATGATTCACTGATATCGAAGCATTGTGGTTTTCAATTTCCAACACAAATCAAGCCTCTGCTGTGATCATTGAAGCTGTTGGGTGAAAATCTTGTTGCATATCTCGAAATGCCTTTTAGAAGATATTTAGACCATTTAGTGGGGTTTAAATGGATTCATAAAAGCAAAGATGTATTTTTCTCAGCCTGTAGATGACTATTATCATCTACAGGATGATGCTATTATCTACAACATATGCTTTCAGCTCAGACTGGTGTTTACATCCCACTGGTGCTCACTGTTTGGCTTTCTGTGAGTAACCTCTACAGTCTAACCTTCCTGGCTTTCTGAGCAGTGTGCAACTGTGTCTCCCAGCAGGCAGTGCTGCAGGACTAGGATGACTGGGAAGACCCAGACCAGCAACGTGACCAACAAGAATGACCCGCGCTCCCTCAACTCCCGCGTCTTCATCGGCAACCTCAACACGGCCGTGGTAACCAAAGGCGACATCGAGGCCCTCTTTGCCAAATACGGCAAGATTGTGGGCTGCTCGGTCCACAAGGGCTACGCCTTCGTTCAGTACGCCAGTGAGAGGAACGCCAGGGCAGCAGTGGCCGGGGAGAACACCAGGGTCATCGCCGGACAGTCACTAGGTAATGCTGTTCAAATGTTCATCATTGAATTCTGATTGAAATATATATATATTTTTTTTACATAAGAGAGAACTACACTGTATAACATGGTGCTTTATTCAACTAATAAGAGACCTTAAAGCTGTTCTCCAGTATGTCAGATGGATCCTAATTTGGATTTTTATATATATATTTATAAAAGATAATACAGAAGAGAACAAAGATATAGCAAGAGGTCTGCGGGGTGGCGGCTCTCCATCAGGTCCAGGTAGGTATGCCACAGTTGGCCGTCAGCGGTCCGTGGTTGGTCCTTTGTCGGCATGTTGTTCAGCAAGCAGAACCTGAGGATTTAGTGATGAGGGTTGTGTCATGGACCAGTGGTCTGTGGATTCTGTTTTCTTTTTCTCCAAAGTTCAAGTTTAAACGCCCAAGTAATAAGTGGACCAAAATGTTGTTGAAATGTTTACGTTTTTTTTAAGTTATAACATTTATTTTAATGGTATTTAATAACTTTATTTTGAAAAGTAAAATCCTTCACTTGCATTACAGTGTTAGAGACAAATACATGTTTCATCCTCTCGCATGTTCTGTTCAAACCAATGTAATATAATCGTTTTACAAAACAAAGCACTGTATACAACACGTAAAATTTAACTTGGAAAAGCAATAAAAACTAGATGTATATATAAAAACAAGAGTCATAAAAGAAGGAGTCAATAGCAATAACTAAAGACAATTTCATAAAAACAAGTCCATATAAAAAGAGGTTTCAGATTAGAAATATAATACAGATTTAGTCAGTTTGAAATCTTCTAGCATGTTATTTAAAACTATTATTTCTAATCAATATTGCCTGAAGACCTCAAGCTGCCATCTGGTTCATGGTGTTTATGGACAAAAAACGTGAAAATAATTCTGAAATGAAGAGGAACAGCTGGGGTGAAGATGCAGAAAACATGTTTTGGGGTTGAGCTTGAATGTACAGATCAGAGAGTCAGACGGACAGCAGCAAGGAGGAAACATTCAGATCTTGGTCCTCATGGGCATTGAGTGGATCCCTGTAAATCTTCTTTATATTACTTATTGATTAGGTCACAGCCTCCTCCACAGAAGACAAAAGTCCTCCCCGATCCCTGCTCTCGCATTAAAAATGAATAACAGCGCTGTAGGGTCACGTCTGTAATTCCACTCTGTTTGTTCAGATACTTTCATGCATTTTTGGGCTGTGAAATGACATATGGCAGTGGTAGAAATGCAAAGTGGAGCTGTGTTCACAGCAATTTGCTGTGTCTCAAGAACTATTGTTGTATTTTTGTAGAGCTGTATGACTGATACTCCTTTAGTGAAAGTAAACTGACTGGCCTGAGCCAACTCAGGTGTTGTCTGGGTAGTTTTGGCAGTGATTGGTAATAATAACATTAGTAAAATTAGACCTGAAGGAGCAAAAGATACAAACAGACAGACAATCAGGTTTTAAACAAAATCCAATACAAGCCAAACTTATTTGGAAACAAATGAAGCGGCACTAACATTATGACCCAAACAAGATGTGACATGAGCTTTAGAGGTAGTGGTTGGCAGATTTTTAAAACCTTTTTCCCGTCTTTATGCTAACCACATGAGAATGGTATCAATCTTCTCCTCTAATGCGCAGTAACAAAGTCTTATTTCTTAAAGCGTCAAAGGGTCGAGTTTGTAATCCTGAAAACTGGCTCCTTTATTTTGTTTTGCACAATGCATGCTTAGTCATTTTTAAGGCATCATTAAGGTCTTCACATCGGTGTCAATAAAGTGTTATGTTATAAATGATGGCCAGAAATTTGGGTTATGATAGAACCATCGATAAAAAATATGTTCATTTATCGGACCTGATTATTGACTGGAAGAATGCGACACATTTCTAAATACCTTAGTGCTTTATGTCATCACACCACCGAAACATTCACCCTGCTGTCAAAACAAATCCACGTCCCATCTGTCTTGTCCTGTTTGCATCGTTGCATCCACTTACAGGAGCTCCTCTCATTGTTATGCACACTGACAAACCAAAGCACAGCTACGCATTTCCTGAAAAACACGATTTCTTGAGAGAAAGGAAAGAGCGTCTAGCTGAGAAGATCTCAGGTGAACATGTGGCTCGTGAACAAAGGCTTCATACAGCAATAAAAGTGAAGTATTCCTTTGCATAGCGGGGGATATTGCAGCTCCACTGACTGCACTTCACAGTGTCCCTGTAAACACCGAGCGTCTGTGGACACATATGCACACACACACAATAAATTCAGTATATTAGCAATGCACCACAAGTGTCAGAGGTATACTAAAGGTGCCCACAATAACGTCTCTCTCTGCTTTGGTTATCATCTTTTCTGCCTTTATTCTGCTGGCCCCCGTGAAACTTAACCCTTGCATCAACATCTTTTAAACATGAACTTTATATTTGATTGGGGTTTGGAACTATATCGCCAAGAGGTGGGCGCAGCCATGCACAAGATATGAATTCTATATATTTTCTCCTCATTAAATCACACACAGGGAGGAGACAGGAGTGTGAAGGTATGACATGTGACAGGAGGGGTCACAGGGTCGGATTCAAACCTGTAATGTCCTGAGTGCACGGTATGCAGCTTGAGTTACCTCAACGTCTCGCGCTCGAGTAGATTTAATAGCCGCGAGATGCTGAAGCTCCAGCGATTGCTTTACTCAATTTAATTCCTTCGGACATGACTGGAGTGGCGACACATTGACTTTATGTAGTTCATGAAAATTAAAGTGACATTTAATCACACCGCCGGTTGGCCTAGACGGTAGCTATTTAGATCCTGATGAAGATGTCAGATGAAGAGTGCAGGAGAGGGTTTTGTTCTTGTTTCACCATCTCAGCATTTCTGCTTTCTGCTTTTGTGGCTATAAACTGGACATAGATGTATCAATACTTTAAGGTTCATTCTTCATAATCCGAGTTTAGTGTGATCATATATGCTTTCTCTGGTTCAAAGTGTGTAAGAGCTTTCATGTGTGACTGCTGTCTGGTGGTCTTTGAGCGCCTCTCTGTGGTTGAAAAGCGTCAGAACACCATAATAAATCCAAGGTATTCTGGGGCCTTTTTTAGTAGTGTTCAGGAACTGTAGGTTGCATAAAGATGATCTGCCCTGTGATGAATTCTTAGAAAAAAGGTGGTAAAGCATGAAAAATGAAAAAAAAACAATTCAGTTTTGGAAATTTGTTGTGAAAAGTGTCTTTATTTCATAATAGTGAACCATCTATCTGCAGGTCTGTCTGTCAGACCAGTCTAAAAATCTGTAGCTTCATTTAGTTGTTTTTGTAAAAAAAGATATATGTAAAATGTATGATACAGTGAGACTTAAACAATACAAGTTACAGTAAGGATATAAAATCAATGCAGACATTAAAGGAGCAGTGATTTAATTACATCTCGTGGTGAGGTTGCAGATTGCATCCCACTGAATACCGCTCCACTCATCACTCCCTTTCCAAGTGTTTGGTTTGTCCTTACTGGGCTACTGTAGAAACATGGCGGTGCAACATGCTGAACCCTGTGAAGAGGACCCGCTCCCTGTGATAATGCACTAAAGAAAACATAGTTATGAATATCATATTCCATTTCTGCCAATAAATTCCCATAAATCTACACACTGTTCCTTTAAGTATGATAAAAAGATGGGACCTGTTGGATTGTTGATGTAAAGATGGTTATTTTATATCAAACAATAAATTCTAATCTAGAAGTTACAACTCTCAAAACAAGGTTAATTTCCTGGAAGTGCTCACCACCTTGGCACAAAGGACAGACAAACATCATGTCCTGTGTTTTTTGATTGTGTTTTTTGATTCATTTATGCTTCTGTGTACCAGGCAGTTCGTTCAGGCTTCACTATTCATGCATCCATGACTTTTCCATCTGCATGAACACTAGATGGTGCTGGAAGAATGTCCGTGAGGGCAACGCCACCAAAACGAGGACATCTTATTCAGTTTCTCAGCATGTAAAATTCATTCCTGTCCTCAGTAGTCAAACTCACGCAGGGCTCGCCTGCATCCTGTGCAGAATATCCGACCACATTTTTACATTTATAAGCTGCGTTTTGTCTTTGCTGTTTCAATAGTAGTTTAAAGCAGCTGTTGACACATGGACTGTTTGCTATTAAGATATGCCAATGATTACGTTCCTGCTGCCACTAATGGTGATTCAATGTGTTTCAAAATTATCCTGGAATAACCTCCTTGAATAAATCCCAAAAGACCATGAGCACACAGAGCGTTTAGTCCTCACATCATAAAAACTGAGATGCATTTTTAATATTTTTTCAAAGAAGTCAAAGTGAGGACATTGGTCGTTTGATTCAAGCGACTGTCCTTGAAGCCATGCATCCGTCACGCTCGGCCTCCATCTTTCATCAGCTTTTAGTTTCTGGTCTTTTCTTAGCGAGAACAAAGAAGCTGCGGGACCATTAAGACATCAAGCTGTGTGCGAGACAGCTGCAAACCCCATTGTCAGTGTAATTAGATATTACAATTACAAGGCTTCATCTACAGCAGAGCTCTACTGCTGCAACAGCTGGGGAATCAGTGGGCAGAGCCCCAGGTGCTCTGCTTCTTCAGTCTGTCTCTTAAGTCAACAGCCCCTTCACTTAAAATTAAATTTAAGAGAGAGAGAGAGAGTTTTATTTTGTTAAATGTATGTTGAATTCTGTCTGTGTGAGTCTGTGAATCATAAAGCAAGACATACAAACGTACATTACTTTATACCATGCGCCACAAATTCCATCTTTTTTTCATTCACTTTACTTTGTTTGTGTGTTTTTTGATCAAAACATCAGGCAAATAAAGCTCAGTTGAACTGAGAGAAGCATCTTTCCATAAAAAGAAAATAATTCATTAGTTGAACACAATACAGATAAACATTGTGTGTATGAAAAATAACTACAAAAGATGTTTGCTCTAATTTGCAGCCCATTTGAGTAAACAAATGGATAAAACAGATTCAGGATAAAAACAAC